TGGACTTTGTTCGTCTCTGGAACGTTACACGGGCTAGCTAGTTGTAGGCTACCACCGGCCAAACCGGTCCGAGTCACAAACATTAGCACATCAACCAATTAAAAATATCAAAAAATGTTAGACATTCATACATAATATATATGCAAGCCTGATCACAAAAAATCAATTTCAAAATCTATTTTCCACATTGTATTATCCTCAGGACATGTACGAAATACAACACACAGCCCATTTATAAAATTTACATTATGGAAGAAAGGAATATAATAGACTAGCCCATGCAGTAGCTGTACGTCTCGACATTCTGTGTGATAAAAGTCCTGAGATATTATGACGGCACTCATTTTTTTTGCTTGTACCTCTAACATTTTTACCTGACATTTTTACCTCTGACATTTTTACCTCTGACATTTTTACCTCTGACATTTTTACCTCTGACATTTTTTCCTCTGACATTTTTACCTCTGACATTTTTACCTTTGACATTTTTTCCTCTGACATTTTTACCTCTGACATTTTTTTCCTCTGACATTTTTACCTGGCACCTTCATTCTTTATCATGTCATCTCTTCTTTCATTCATTCGAATCATTATCACTATCGTCATCATCATTATTATCATCATCATCATCATCATCATCATATTCATCCTGATCTGCATCACCATCATCGAAATTTGTATTTTCAATTACCTATCCGTTTCTGCTTAATAAATGTGTTAATATATTTCATGAGTTTTGTCTGGGGCTGTCGTATTATCAAGCAATCTGCTTACAATGACATTCCTTCTTCCGCAAAAAAAAATTATAATGTTTTATCATGTTTGAGGAAATTTAGTATTTATAACAGTTTATCATTTCGTTTTTGAAAATAACAATTTAAATATATATGTATTTGCTTATTTATGATTCATTGTCAGAAAAATAGTTATTCTACTTTATATTATTATTGTTATCGAAAAACTGTATGTTTACATGAATGCAGAAGAAAATAAAATAAAATAAAATAAAATAAAATCATTCATGGTATTTGCTTCACTTATTTTTTTGTATTGTTTATATTTCTTTTAAAAAAATGTATGAAATATTGCTTTTAACAATATCATCCATTTCACATTTGGTATTGCTTGATTGTATAGATACACCTTTTTGCGACATTCCTCTACAGACAATTTGTAACACTATCTGAATTTTAACTTTAACTATAGACCCAATACTGTGTCATGTAACAACCCGTAACGTCATATATACATCTAGTTGCAATTCAAACCCTAAATCTAAATCATTGACCCCTCCCCCCCCCTCCCGCCCCCCCCCCCTAATGAAAAACGGAGAAGAAAAAAACCCCGGCGCAGAGTGGCCGGAGAAAATGTCGGATCACCTTTTAATTGATTCCAGTCAATATATTTCAGTTTAATCTTCTTCTCACCGGAACGTTAGTGGGTGTCCATCATCGCTAATTAATATTTATGCATGAGTGAACCATATTCCGAGTGCGCAGTAGAGCGAAAGTAATTAATTGTAAACTAAATTAATTGTTGCAACACCCAGATGACACGGCTTTTGCAGATACGGTCCATTATCGCGCTGCTTGGCAAATAAAGCTAGAAGAATATAGGGTTCGATAAGGACCTGAAATATTGATGATCAAAAATTGTTTTCAAAAAATCGCCTCTATATCTCTACTTACACAAGTAGAATTCACGGCAATATACGCTGGTAAATCACTGGTTAGCCAAAACACGATACTATCTTTAAAAACGTACTATTTTGATAATGTAATTCTATTTTGGATCATGGCAAAAAGTGATCTGTGAAATCAACAATCCGAGATGACTTTAGGATGCAGCTTGGCAGACTGCGGCGTTTTCATCTTCTAGCAACTACTTCGCCCAAATACTCTTACACATGGAAATACATATGCCTGAAAACAAACATGATTGCACTAAAGGCACTATTTATCTATTTTTTCCTGATGATATTTAAGATTTTAGAAGAGTTTACCTGTACGAATATATACCCAATGAACATTATCGTTACCATTAATTAAAGAATTTCAGAAGAATACTACTATTACTATTTGTAATACTACTACTACTACTACCATATACTACTACTACTACTACTATTACTACTACTACTATACTGCTGCTGCTGCTACTACTACTACTACACTACTATAACTACTACTGCTGCTACTACTACCAAAGAGATACTACCTCTTTGCTAATACTACCATCACCACCACCACTACTACTACGACCAACACCACTACATGGTTTAGTATACCCCGGTCTTCGGTTTTTCTTTTTGTATATACTCCATAATAAAATACGTTACCTAATAATAATAATCATTCATTTGTTTCACATTACGGTGTACATTATAGGATGTAAATACCGGACGTGTATTTAACCTTAGGAAGTCTATATTCTGCAATTCCCTTTTTTTGTATCTGCTGATCCAAATTTTCTTCTGTCATAATGTGCATTCTGTATATCGGACTATGGGTGCGTTTATTGACCAAAATTTTGGCTAAGAATCAGGTTTTCCAAACGTCTTTCAGGCAAATTTAGAAGGTGATAAACGCAAAGCCTTTTTTAAAGGTCTTTAGTTATGGGCATATCTAAAGACGCAAAAAGGTGTGTTTTGAATGTGACATACAGCCAGAATCACGTTTCTGAGAGATGATAAACGCAAAGCTGTTTTGAACCCCACATACAAATCGGACCACACAGGTTAATTTCCGGTTTAGAGGCTAGCACGCGCCATGACTTGTGTACAAGCATGTGTGTGTAGTTGACCTCAGAGAAACTGTCTGCTTCCCGGGTCAAACGGCGCAAAACAGCTGCTCAGACACAAGGCCTTTATTTTGAATCGTGAAGAGACGATAAACGCGACATCCCGCAAATCACTTTCGTATAGTGGTGTTCGATAGTGGGGTACGATATGTACATATCTAGTGGCAAGACCCAATAAACGCACCCTATAACTACCAAAGTGCCAATCCTGGATGTCGACGCGTGTTCAAAGCCTACAATAATCTTTAAAGTTTCACAAGGCACGCTAAGTTCAACATTCCGACCTGTAAGCCCATGTAATTATCCTTTTCCTCCTAGCTTTATCAAACAATGGTATTACTATTGTCACCGAGGAATGAGGAATCTATTTCCCATGAAACATTAGATTTGCCTTTGCCTAACTTTGCCTCGATTCTAGTTTTGAATGGGTTGTCTGCTGAAGTTTTTGGTTGAATGACCGAAATCAATAACTGTTTTTTCAACAACTATGTTTAATTTCGTGCTTGAATATCATACACAAAAGTGGAAACGTAAAAGTTAATAGGCATGAATTTTAATTGTTATGAGTCGTCTGGTATAGATCATTGATATTTGCATGTGAAATAAAGGATTGGAATTAGACTATGCCCGTCCTGTTCAACCAGTCTGAATATAATTATGCCAGTGCTATATCTGTTCTTTATTCCCGTGTCAACAACCTTTAGTAGTTTTGCAACCATTATTACTTGTTACTGAATGCCTTACACTTATGAATATGAAAATATATATACAGAAAAGGTAAGGGGTCCTAGATTATCAATATTAAACCTAAAGTCAGAATTGTTTGTAATGAAAAAGCCTAAAGCAGAAGCTTATGTAGGGACGGGACCCAGCCTTTCCTATGATAAGTCTACCATCATTTTGTGTTGATATACATTACTTTGATGTTGAGGCATAAAGATAACATTATTTGCCCCTCCAAGTAATGCTATCTCTCTGGCAAGGACTGTACATGAGTTAAGAAATTATGAGCTGGTAACCTTGAAGTTTGAAATTTGAAAACACCTTTAAGAATTCAAGACAAATATTGAATGCACAGGATAGCGCCACGCTTCACCGATAATTCACAAACTTGAAATTCATTCAACCCTGTAACTTCGGCAAGCATGCACGATTTTGACATGTTTAACAAACAACATTCCTTTGTTATCTATTTTCAATTAGTATTTGAAAGTGTACACATCATATTAAAGAGAAGAGTACTATTAACTTTCAGATCTTCCTGTTAGATTTACAACAACAAAAATTGGATTTTTGATTAAATGTGGATTTCTTATTTATTGTCTGACATTTTAGTATAGCGATTTCATGATTACTTCTGTATCGTAAAAGGACACTATCAGTATATTAGATTGTAACGTCAGTTTGCGAAAGCATTAGATTGTTGAGAGGTATGTGACGATTTTCTGGTATAATGTTTAAATGTAACCAATTCCGGTGTCACATACATTAATTTGTATGCTTTTGCTTTTTAATTGGAATTGGAAATAACTTATACTTCATCCTTTAAAGCAAAATGGTATCAACTTGTGCACAAATCCAACTGGGAATTCTTTGAAATAAAATTGTTACAGTTTCAGACGTTTACTGACTTTAACAGTTTTTGTGTCGTTTTGCTATGTTCTCCGCGTCTTATTACAATTTACAACTGCGTTTACCTGTATAAGTGACAGTGATTGTCTACAAATTGAAGTTTTTATCGTAGAGATGCTCATTCTGTGCTTTCGTTACGATAATCATGCCTGTCATCACAACACTTTGGCGTATCCTTTGTCTTTAGTGCGCCCACGATCAATGGAGAACAATACCTTCATCATGCATCGCTTAACAAAAAATACCCCCCAATGGTTAAATGAACACACAAGTCATGATCTACACATTAAATGACAACTCTTATTCCTTCGTTTTGTATAATAAACCATGTATCTATAGGGATGACTTGCTTCTGATTTTTTTCTTATAAGAAAGACGCGTTAGATTCTTGGGAGTCGTAAAAACACTTTGACATAGTTGAACCTCCGCTTCTTGGCAGCATTGAATTTGAGTTCAATTTGAGTCAAGTCAAGCGCCAGCAGCCCTATGTCTAGACATAACAAATAAAGCTGTGAACAGGTAAGGTATAGGTGAAACAGACCCCCTAAAATATGAATATGCAAACTTACCTGCGAACTGCAGTAAACAAGAAGCGGCTAATAATAAACAGAGCATGATGGAATTAATATCAAACAATGCAAGGTATGTCATAATTGTTGCTGGGCTGTGGTGTCTCAAACCATACAGCGACGTGACTAAATGACTGCTTCCCTGTCAGGTCGCCCGAATGCTCCGCTACCGCTGAAATTCAATTTCCCTGCCACCCTGCTTAGCCCAGACATTCGGCCAAAGTGATGGGAATACAATATGATGTCATCTGTTTATCTCGACAATTTTTTTTCTTTTTCGGTGAAAGCTGTAGATCCCTGTTTCCCTCTGCCCTGGCAAGAGAGCGGGTCTGAACAAACGGTGCACACGACACACGTGCTGAAATAGAATACCCAAGTTATTGGCATGCTATCATAATGATATAACGATCGTCAAAAGTGTGTCATGGTGCGGTGGTGTTTAAAGCACTGGGGTGAGGGTGAAGGCATAATATGAGAATGGAGAAAAGATTATGAGCTTGGTGCCCAGGCAAACATGGATTTCATATCACAGCAGTGTTTTCAAATTGAGTGGCGTATCCATCAATCGTCAACAGAGGGGCGGAGTATAGTTTAGGTTTCCCGCGTGCCGTAGACCCACTGTTCTGTTATCGTTTTGCCTGCATGTGATTTCGAACGGGAGGGGGCGTGCATAAAACGATATACACAGGCTTCATCGTATTTTGGCTACGCCACTGAACCCGACTCCGTTATCAAAAGGGAGAAGGGTTTTTAGTTATCGCCAGGGGCGTCGCCAAAGGGGGGGTGTGGGGGGGTGCGACACCCCCCCCCCCCCCACCTGTCAGGATTTTGTCGGTAAAATTGCGCTGCCGTCGGGAAAAAATAGAAAAGGGGGAGGGAAAAAAAGAGAGGGAAAGGGAAAGAAAGGAAAAAAGAAAAGGAAAAGAAAAGAAAGAAAGGAAAAGAAAGGAAAGAAGGAAAAGAAAGAGAGAGAGAAGAGGAAAAAAAAGAAAAGGAAAAACAGAACAAAAAAAGAGTAAAAGGGAAACAAAAGAAACGGATGAAAGAGAGGAGAGAGAGAGAGGGGAGGTAAGAGCCTGAGAGAAGAGGAGTGGGAGTAAAAGAGAGAAGGGGGTTGTTGGGTGGCACTATGAACATGACAGACAATGAAAGCGGACAAAATATACAGTTCTTCAGGTAGATAAAGGGACATCCCTTCACTGCTATTATGTAAAAATGTGTAGAACAGGTGTCGCATGCATATTCACCTGTTCTACACATTTTTACATAATAGCAGTGAAGGGATGTTCCTTTGTCTACCTGAGGAACTGTATATTTTGTCCGCTTTCATTGTCTGTCATGTTCATAGTGTGGAGTCGTCTCGTCGAGGGAGCAAGAAAGACACGGTCAAATATGTTGCTGTGTCGGGTCAGCTGTGTCGGTGTTCTTTCTCGATCCTCGTGTACTAATATCAATGCAGAAGTTTGAAGTCGGTGAGATGTATATTGTCGGTCGGTCGGCTGAAAAGTTTTTTTCCCTACGAACTGTGACTTTTTATCCGCTGTGACGACTTCGAGAGTGACTACAACTACAATACTTGTATTTTTTCTCAAAGTTTCACTTTCCTATAATATCAGCTAAAGAAATCAGAGGTTTAACATTTTCGGGGAAACTAAATTCAAACAAAGTTTAAAAGTCAACAACGGTACGACGAATCGCTTTCCTTTCTCTATATTGTGATGAAACGCCAAAGATTCCGCGCTTCGCGCGGAAGGGGAAGATTTAATTTAGACGAGTCGAGAACGGTACAACGAATCGTCTTCTTTCTCTAATAATTTAAGGAAACGTCAAAGCTTCCGCGCTTCGCGCGAGAGGGGGAAACTGAATTCAGAAAAATATGGCTTATTAAGAATCGAAAACGGTACGACAAATCGTCTTCCTTTCTCTATATTGTGTTGAAACGCCAAAAATTTCGCGCTTCGCGCGGGAGGGGAAAACTTCATGTAGACGAGTGGAGACAGTACTATCGTCTTATTTCTCTAATAATTAAAGGAAACGTCAAAAATTCCGCGCTTCGCGCGGGTGGAGGAAACTGCATTCAGAGAAGGATAAAGAGTCGAAAACTGTACACCGAATCGTCTGCTTTTTTCTCATAATTTAATGAAACGTCAAAGTATTAAGAGTCGAGCACGGTTCAACGAATTGTCTACTTTCTCTAAAAATTTAATGAAACGCCAAAACTTCCGCACTTCGCGCGGGAGGGGGAGAACTGAGATAAGGATTAAGAGTCGAGAACAGTACACCGAATCGTCTGCTTTTCTCATAATTTAATGAAACGTCAAAGCTTTCGAGCTTCGCGCAGGAGGGGGGGGACTTCATTAAGACAAGGATTAACAGTCGAGAACGGTACAATAAATCGTCTTCCTTTCTCTATATTGTGTTGAAATGCCAAAACTTCCGCGCTTCGCGCGGGAGGCCTATCACCCACCCCCCCTAATGAGCGCGTTTCGCCTGCTCTTTAAGTGATTCGCTTGCTCTCTTCCGCCCCTTCCTAAAATAAGATCCTAGCTCCGCGCCTGCATTAAAATATAGCTATGCTGACTAAGTTGACGAAATAATTTATGTCGTCGAGGAAAATAACCATTATTTTTGCGCATACGCAAGTACTATATATAGATAGATAGTCCATAGGAAAAATAATTTAATTTTGTCGGTAATTGGTGGCTAGTTTTGTCGGTAATCGTTGGCCTCTACACCCCCCCCCCCCCCCCCCACTGAAAAAGGTCCAGCGACGCCCCTGGTTATCGCTCAGTGAAAGGCTAAAGGGCACCATCAGACTTTTCGACATTCACCTTGGAATTCTAACAACAAAATGAATAAGATTCCGGGAATCAAATTCCCCCCCCCAAAAAAAAAAAAAAAAAAAGTTTCGCGTGCAGATGATATGCTGCAAGTCCTTTGGAATATTCTTACATTATTTAAACAATGGTTTCATTGGCAACAATATGTTTATCATGGACCAACGTCATCAAGATCATCATCAGCAGCATCTTCAACACTTAATATTAAAACTGCTACTTCTGATGATGATGATGATGATGATGACCATAATAATGAAACAAAATAATCAATATTTTTATTATCATTATCATTATCATTGTTGTTGTTACTATTATTTGTATCGTTAGTATAGTTGTATTATTATCATCATCATCATCTTTATTATGCTTATGATAATAACAATGAATCACAATAATAATAAATGATAATAATGATAACAACAACAACAACATTGATAGTATCAGGTGTGAATCAAAATTCCACACTATACTAATTCTGTCAAGCCTTTTGCTTGGTGCATTTATCTCAGATACGGTTGAATGAGTCCCTTTCCTTCTTGCGTGTATTATTCGCAAGGAACTGAACGGGGAAAGTGTGTCTACTCACAGATTGCCACATGCAAGTATGAAAAGGGACTCCCGTTTCCTAGTTGCAAGTCAACTCGCCATTGCTTCTCGTTTGAACCTTTCATTGGAAGTTGGTTTAGTTCGATTGAAGTTTTTGCTACCAATTACCGGGACCAATTACCAGCAAATTTCATCTGAGATTTCAACTAACCCGTCGGCAGAATATTTCGGGAGGCGAACCACCTGATTCCGACCTGCTCCATCCAGCTAGGAATCGTAAGTTTAATGAAATTGTAAATGTATGCGTATAGAGAAAGCAATTCAAATCTGATGAATATTGTAGGTATTTTGTAATAAGTGCTGAGATTAAACACTAATTTCAATATTATTTTTTTTTTATTTCATTTTATTTATTCATTTATTCATTCGTTCGTTTCTTTCTTTCTTTATTTATGGACTTTTAGGACTTACGGATTTATCGTCAAATTCTGTAAAAGATCATTTGAAATTTCACAGAAACCTTTTCCAAGCCGATCTGGAACACACCTCGACATTTCATTGTCTTAGATAATTGCATGAAATGAAAGCCTTATACTTCTACTTTCAACTGATGTATTTCTAGACTTGGAACAATCTTTCGTTGAATTTATATTTTTTTTAAAGATTTCGTCAATTTCTGCGTCGTCAAAAAAAAAGTCATTTCCACGCCACGCATTGCCACTCATTTTTTGAGAGGTGAAGCGCATGTTTGGAGCAAGGGGGGGGGGGTGATGGGTCTTGTTCAATCCGTGCTGTGACGTACGTCGACATTGCAAATTTCTAGCTTATTAGATGAGATGAAAGTATATAGGGATTCTGCTTTCATTCCATTTATGCCTGGTCAAAATGTCACACATCTCAGCAGTGTTTGGAGAGCTCTTCAGGTGCTATCGGGGCTGTATTTAAGCGTTTTGTAATTGACAATAATCATTACTCAATTGTTTCCAAGCATTGAATTTTGATAAAATTGTGCAATCAAAGTCTCATCTTTGAAATAATAACAATAACTTTAGTTTTTAAAATCTTCGCACCAAAAAAAATCCACTTTAGACATGCTAGAAGTAAAAAAAAAAAACACCGCGTGAGATCGCTGCTGCCGCCAGAGCTCGTTTTGCCGCCTTGCGGGCAAACCAGAACCTGTGGAGTTCGGACCGGTTTGCTTCCAGGCGAGGCAATGTGTGATCATATAGCATGAATTAATATAAGCTCATGTTTACGTTTTGATATTTAGACCTATTAAAATTGTTAAGATATCCCCAAATCCTCAAAGTAATGCATCTGCTTTGCTTCTTTGAATACTTTTTATACTCTCTTTCTCTCTCTCTTCCTCTCTCTATTTCTCTCTCTCTTCCTCTCTATTTCTATTACTTAACATAATCATGAATTGTCAAATTTAACTTGCTTTTCAGAATACTGTTTATCGGAGTCACAGCACATTTCTCAGTTTTCAGGGTTACATACTTATAACCTAACTTTTTAAATATTGTTCGTCACATTCAAAACTTTTATTATTTTCCTCCTCTTTCTCCCTCTGTTCATTTTTTAAATAAATAATAAGACTTGCTTGGATATGCCATAGGAAGAATCTTTATTTACTTTTTTCTCTCTAAAATCATATCTTAATAAAAGATTTGCTTGTTTAAACATGAAATATTGTACATATAATATTAAAATCTTGATTTGCCAGTACGATTATACTACTTTTATTTAAATTCATATTTCAAATCTATATTTCTTTTTATGAATACCGAACCAGAAACACAGTGAAGAGGATAGTATGGGTGAATGTAAATTTGGAATCCTTTTTTTTTCTTTCATTTCCTTTCCACCCAGGAATAATATTGTAGACACTCTTTTCTCATTCAACTTCAATAGAATAATGAAAAGGATGTGCATAATTCCAGGAACCTTTTCTGTTTTTTGTTTTGCCTGCAAAAAGTGATGTTACAATTTGTGTTGATTTTTATCCCATTTTCCCTTTCACCGTGATCCTGTTTTATAACTATGTCAGATGCACAACAAACCTATTTTACCTATTTACTACTTAGTTTTATTACTTGGCTTTATTACCTATCATAATTATGTTGGTATACTTGTTTAGATTTGAAACCAGAACCATTTCCCTTTTCTCTTAATTATAATCTCGTAAATCTAAATTTGCTAGTTTGAACTCTGTGACTCAGATTCGTA